CCTGAACGGTCTTCAAGCGGCACGTAAGGTATAAACTTTCTTTTTGAATAGTTACTGTCGATCTGTAAGCGGCACGTAGGGCAACTCGATCGGGCAGGGAAACAGATTTTGTATGTTATGGCAGTTCTTGTAATTTTTTAACGGTCTTCAAGCGGCACATAGAGCATGAACTTTCTTTCAAATAGATTATTGGTTTGTTAACGGCACGTAGGGCAATTTAATTGGACATGGAAACAAATTTTTGGTACGTTCATGCAATTCTTATAATTGACGCTCTTTATGTGGCTCAGTAGTCGTGCTTTTCGGGGAGGGATCTCCTTTTGTAGTAAAGCTTCATATTCCTTTGGCGAAAAAATTGAAGGATTCTTTGACAAAGTTCTTAGACAACTGATTTCGTTGCTGTCGGAACTGATTCTGAGAGAAAAGTGTTTTTTGTAATAACATAATTATTATGGTGTATTTCTACTTCCAAAACATATGTTCTGCTACTTACTTAACGATCTTTTATGGAACTTGCTGAGAAGAACTGAAAGAGCAAATTCTCTTTGAAAGGGTAGAAAAGTGGGGGGGGGGGGGTTATCTGAATGTCTCTGTGAGGAGGGAAATTTGCATAAAAAGCGTGTAAACGAGATAAAAATAATTCGAGAAATGCTGAATGATTTGTAGAGATTATCGCTTTTTCGAGCAGTTCTCCTTTTGTAGAATGCTCTTCGCAAAAATGTTCTCAGGAAAGGAACAGGAAACTTATTTAGAAATATTTTTAGTCAAACCTAAGCCCTTATATGTATCTGCCCCGACCCACTTGCTAGCGACCCGTAGGGTCGCTAGTCTTATATATAAAGCTGAATGTCTGTTTGTATGTCTGTATGTCTGTATGTCTGTATGTACGTATGTTCCGAATAGAAAATTCCATTTCTGAACCGATCGGGACCAAACTTAGCACACATACACTTCGGGTCCCGGCGGGTGTCATAGGCTACTTTTCGCCATCGATCGATATCGACTTTATCGATTTTTTTGCAAAATTTGAGCTACGGGGCTGGGAGTTGGCACAGGGGAATAATCGAGCATGCTGATCACCCCCGTGGGGGTGATCAGCATGCTCGATTACACCCCTCTGCCAAATTCCAGCCCCCTAGCTCAAATTTTGCAGAAAATCGATAAAATCGACATCGATCGATGACGAAAAGTAGCCTATGACACCCGCCGGAGCCCGAAGTGTATGTGTGCCAAGTTTGGTCCGGATTGGTTAAGAAATGGAATTTTCTATTCGGAACATACGGCGGAGCCGGGTAAGCCAGCTAGTGCCTTATAAATGCCGGCCGATGACCGCTCCGAAAGATCTTACCGGCTGGCGGCCGATCGAACGATCGCCAGCCGTTATCTAAGATCCATGTGCCAAAGTGCGGGAAGTGCATGGAATTCAAATACATGGTCGAGCCTCATAGGGAACTAGCTGGCTTACCCGGCTCCGCCGTATCCGGACCAAACTTGGTACACATACACTTCGGGCTCCGGCGGGTGTCACAGTCCACTTTTCGTTATCGATCGATGTCGATTTTACCGATTTTTATCGATTTTTTCGCAGAGTTCACCTACAGGGCTAGGAGTTGGCACAGGGGGGAAGTGAGCATGGGGATTCCGAATACAATATTAGTTTTCAGAATTATCGGTTACTTTTATTGATTTTCTCGATTTTTTGTAAATTTTGACATGCGAGGCTGGGATTTTGCACAGGGGGGTAATCGAGCATGCTGATCACGAACACAATATTAGTTTTCAGGATCGTCCATTACTTTTATCGATTTTATCGATTTTTTTTGTAAAGTTTGACCTGCGGGGCTGGGAGTTTGCACAGGGGGTAATCGAGCATGCAGATTACGAATACAATATTAGTTTTCAAGATCGTCCATTACTTTTATCAATTTTATCGATTTTTTGAAAATTTGAGCTAGGGGGCTGGGAGTTGGCACAGGGGTGTAATAGCATGCTGATCACCCCCCTTGGGAATGATCAGCATGCTCGATTACCCCCCTGTGCCAACTCCCAGCCCCCTAGCTCAAACTTTGCAAAAAATCGATAAAATCGATAAAAGTAATCGATAATCCCGAAAACCAATATTGTATTCGGAATCCCCATGCTCGATTACCCCCCTGTGCGAACTCCCAGCCCCGTAGCTCAAACTTTGCAAAAAAATCGATAAAATCAATAAAAGTAATCGATAATCCTGAAAACCAATATTGTATTCGGAATCCCCATGCTCGATTACCCCCCTGTGCCAACTCCCAGCCCCGTAGCTCAAACTTTGCAAAAAAATCGATAAAATCAATAAAAGTAATCGATAATCCTGAAAACCAATATTGTATTCGGAATCCCCATGCTCGATTACCCCCCTGTGCCAACTCCCAGCCCCGTAGGTGAACTCAGCAAAAAAATCGATAAAAATCGATAAAATCGATATCGATCGATGACGAAAAGTAGCCTATGACACCCGCCGGGGCCCGTAGTGTATGTGTGCCAAGTTTGGTCCGGATCGGTTCAGAAATGGAATTTTCTATTCGGAACATACGTACACACATACATACAGACATACATACATACAAACAGACATTCAGCTTTATATATAAGATGCTCGCTATACTTCTCTTTTTTTAGGTAGTCGCAACTTCTTTGTTTCGTTTATGTTTTTGTTTATTGTTTATCTGGAGGTTATGGGTGCTGCGGTGTCACTTGAAGATCAGAACTTCGCCGCATTATGAGCTGACGCTATTCTGTCTTTGCTAAGCTGTGTTCTTTTCCAGAGTTGAAAGAAAAATACTTAAGACGTTTGCAGTTCTTACTTTCTTCAGAAATGGCCAAAAAAGGTGTTATTGAACTGAAACGTGCTGCTCGCGAGGTGTAGAGTGCTAGGTTTCGCGTTAATTTTTTGACAACTGACCAAAAAGAACTATTCCACATTAGTTGATCCAAAACATGAAAATCGTGAATTTCGCTAAAACTTCGTCTTGGGGGTTATTTGGTATGCTGAACACAAATATGACGTTTATTTCGTGCGACAGCGCCATCCGGTGGAGTTACGGTAGGATTACGGTAGGGGGTCAAAATCACGGATTTGCCCGAAACTTGGCCCCAGAGGGGTTATTCGGCCCGCTGATGTCAAACATCACACTGGTTTTGAACCGTAGCGTCATTATCTCGGGTTACGGTAGCTACACGGTAACGGGTGCAAGACATAGTTCTGCCTGAAACGAGTGCACGGCGACTCGGACGATCGTGAAGCTTTTGCACACGACCACCGCCGCGCGCTACACACCCTGCTGCGGCTTTTGCCTGAGCAAAGCACAGGGGAAAGATACATTTGCCGATTTGTGATTTTGACACATACCGTAAAACTACCGTAACCATGCAGGGAGACGTTTTCGTGCGGAGAAAATGTGACATTTCTAATCAGCATATCGAATTACCTCTCAATGCGAAGTTACAGCGGATTTTGGGATTTTGACCCTCTACCGTATGCCCACCGTAACCCGAGAAAATGACGCTACTGTACAAAACTAATGCGATATTCAGCATTAGCGGGCCGAATAACCCCTCTAAACGAAGTTTCGGGCAAATCCGTGATTTTGACCCCCCCCCCCCTCTCCCTACCGTCCTACCGTAACTCCACCGGATGGTGCTGTCGCACGAAATAAACATCATATTCGTGTTCAGCGTACCAGATAACCTCACTAGATAAAGTTTTAGCGAAATTCACGATTTTCATTTCTTGGGTCAACTAGTGTGGAATAGCGCCAAAAGAACAAAATGACATGTTTCAAGTTTAGGAGAAAGAGGGTTATGCAAGGTGTTTGAGATCTTATTCTACACATGGAACCTGACCATCATGCAATCGGGATCAACATCTCACTCATGCTAAGAATATGGCCTTTCAACTAGCGTTATTCTTCGCAAGATGTGTTCACGGACTACTTTCCCTCTGCTGATTATTCGGAACTCTGCTATATATATACGGATGTTATCTCAGTTCTAAGGATTCCCAGTATTCCCATGCCTATCCTTGTGTACACTCCAAAAGGTAAGTGAGTTCACACCAATCATTTGATAGAAACTAATCTTGATGAATGGTTTAGGGGAAACATTCACTGAACGTCTACTGCTTGCATAGGCATCTGATTTGCTCCGCTCAATGATATTAGCAATTCCTGAGCAGGTAAGTCTTGGTAACAATGATTCATTTGTCGAAAGCTTATGTCGTTTGCAGATGTCCGCTGAGTGGCGTTCACCATAAAGAATACGAGAGTGTAGCAATCAGTCAATCCGAAATGAGTAGCGGTCCGATGTGCCATCTTTTGCGTCGACTAGATGTTCAAGCACAAAGAATGTCATCTTCTCGTCGACATAAGAAACGCCTTGATTTTATAGCTATACTATAGGCATATTGTATTAGGCTCTACGTACTAGTCTTATTTGTAAATAATTCCTCACTATGTATGCTTATGCAATAAATAGATATGTTTTTGCGGTTCCTTATTGTTTACTGGGGGAGAGGGGTGTGAAGGGCAAAGCGAACGAAAGCTGCAAAACAATGAAGAATTGCGCCCCACAACCATTTTGTTGCGCGATTGACACATACCGGCCGGCGGTCGTGCTCATACCGGCTGACGGGCGTAGACTACGCGGCTGAGTGAAATTGACACCATCTCCACAGCCGGTAACTGTGCGGCCGCTGGCCGGTGCGAGTGTCTGAGACTGTACACGCTTACGCGCGTAAATCCATCGCGAGAGTAGTAGCTCAGCGAAAGCATGCAGGCCGCAACAAGTCGTCCGTTGTATGCTGTTGTGAGAACAGGTTTGGAGACAAGTGCCTCGGCCTTGCATGCCATCTGCACGACACAGGACATCATGTCGCCGAAAGAAGAAGTCTCTAGCGGAAACTCCATTTCAACTGATCAAACGAGTGGTAAGGTGCCAGATGTGATACAAAATTAGGAAGCACTTACCTTGTGCTTGTCGTTCGTCTCCAATTGATTATTTGTTACAGAAGGACCACTTGATAAGAGCAAGCCATGCTGCGCTTGAAGATTTGCTGCAATATTTTTTTATAGAGACATTCTCAATGAAGAAACTCTCATGGGACAGCATGTTCAGAATTTCTACTCTTATGTGCTCTTGCAGAAAGCTGCATAAGAGATACTAATCAATCTCCTGTAAAGAACTGGCTCCTGTACAGTTCACAACCACATAGGCGCGGACGCTAACGCGCGCGATACATGAAGCTATGACGATTGGGGTCATGCCTATTTGGGAAGCAGACGAGCCAGATACGCCAGCAACCCGCTAGCGCATACCAAGAACACTTGCTGCCGAAAACACTGTAGATCGTTTCGCAAAAAAAACCCTTGTTTCATTCCACTCTTTCCTTCTCACTCCTCGAGCAAGTTGTCGTAGTAGTAGGACCTATGCTCATATGCAAGTCTACTGGCCTCGCTAACAATGGTGGATTTAGGATGAAGTACAGGCGATGTCAAAAACCTATTCCCTTTTGTGCAGTCCTCGATTTGCATGCAAACGCCGCAAGTCCCGTGCGCCACGTGCGCGAGCGAACGGCAGGGCACTTTGCCAACTCTCGATCGATGGCGCCCATATGACGCCCGATTTGCTTTCTTGAATGTTTCACCTCCTTATTTGTATTTTCTCCCCTTTCGCGCATTACTAATGTTGGAAATGTGATGTTTAGATTGTATAATTGTTCTTTTACTCACTACATTGTATGTATTTAATTTCTGGTATTTGTACGATGTACTAAGTATGAAAAAAAGCAAATACTTTTGTTTCTGGATGGATTCCTAAGTCATCTTTGCTGTTTTTCACCATAATTCAGACTATCCTGAAGTAAATGAGTAAATGAAGCAAAAACGACAAAAAACCAGTTCAGATCGTGTGCAATCCAATTGTGAGATAAAGAGAAAACCAATCAAATATGTTTAGACAGGGAAAAAGGAAAGAAGAACACGAGAGTATCTAAAACGGCTCAAAAAATGCAAAAGCCCGCGCTCCCGCAGACGTCATCGATCGAGGGTTGGCAAAGCGCCCAGGCCGTACGCACGCGAACGGAGCGCATCAGCCTTGCGATGCGTACGTGTAAGAGCTACGGACTTATGAGCTCCTCATTAACATGCACTGTAGTAGTTCATTTTTTTAAGAAGTGCTGGAAACGGTCTTTTCATCCTTGATGTCCAACTACACATTGTTGCATTGCACGCAGGTAATAAATAGCAAGCATTTAAAGGCAGCGTCCCACCAGACTGGGGATACCTGGCTCTGGTAGTGATGTAGTAGTAGACCCCCTAATTAAGCGGCGACAGAAATTTGCAGCGCGAAAGGGGGTCTAGAAGTCCACAAATCGCCCCTCAAGTGGCCCGAGTCTTACGGTAGGCTCGGGCGAGTGCGAGATGCATGCAAGGCAGAGAGTTGTTGGGAGGCCCTGCGCTTATGACTGTGTGCGCTATACGCACTCGCCTTGCGAGTCGATATTGCTGTGTGGGCGGCGTCCGGGCCTACCGTAAGATTCGGGCACTTTCGGAGCAAATTTCAAGCTTGGGTAGACCGCCTCTTTCGCTCCGAACTTCAGTCATCGCTTAGGTAAGGGGGTCTACTTCAACATAGCCACAAAAACCCGGCACCCATCTTTTTGCCGGGACGCTGCCTTTAAAGGCAGCGTGTAGGCAAGATCCATCCACCCAGATTAGCACATAGTTGTAAAGAGGGACCCATGGGTATCCAATCTGCGTTGGTCCGATCCTTTGACGTGCCCTCTAAGAGGAGATAGGGGCCTGTGATACGTATCACAAGCCGCCCCTTCGCGTCACAAACCACCTCTGAGGACGAGTGCTTACGCAGGTGTGCGGTTGCATTGCAGTTGCATTGCAGTTGCACTGCACACTGCAATGCAACTGCATCCGTGCAGTTGCAGCTCCTCTCGCTGGCATGACGTTGAGAACGAGCAATTCGAAACTCGTCCGCTCCTTGAAGAGAGGGTCCCCATGAACCGGGTTTTTTGGGAGTTTTGAACAATTTGGACTTTACAACTGTAATCAGGGCCACGGAAAGGCCCCCAGAATGGCAGAAACATAAGAGGCGAAATTTTGCCCGGACGCCGCCTTTAACCCTTTGGGACCTGGCGGTGGCAACTGACTGTAGCATCGCCGTGACAATGTTTCTAGCACTCCTTGTTATAGTAGCTTGGAATGGCCTATTGCTTTCTATCTGCGCGTCCACTCGCATTTTTGTTCGTTCTGCGCTTAGTATCAGAAGCAATTGCGTGCGAAGCAACACTGGATCGCGCTTGACTTTGGAATCTGATAGATTAGCGCCAATTTTTTTCTCTTTTCTAAAAATTTTTTTCTATTCATATTTCCATTGTAACCGTCGGGTATGAAGTTGTTCAAAGAAAAATTGGCAGTTGTTTGTGAGTCCACAAGTGTTGACTCTTTGCCATCACCTTCAGAATTTCTGTACGCAAAAGCCACCAGTGGTCTTTAGTGGAACTTTAATGGAAGGTTTTTTATTCAGAAGACGGACCGCCAATGAGCTTCGGCAAGAATCTAGCTGGCATATCTCAACAAATCACACTGAGAGAAGCTGCGGCCGCATCATTGGCGAAGATGATGTTGACGAGGAGTTGGGAGACACTGAAGAAAGCGACGAAAAAGAACACAAAGATGAGAAAAGGAAAATCTCTGGTGTCGCGAATGAACCAAAACATGGGAGACCGGTATCCAATTCTTCAAATATCATGATTGCACCTACTAAAGTTCCAACAGCGTGAAGCCCAGATTGATACCTCTGAGTGAAGTTAGATATGACAGCTCGGATACTCGCCGATATATGGAGATAGTAACAAACAACAATGTAAACTAGAATCTTGTAAAGGACGTTCTCGAACTCACTGTGAGAAATGTAAGGTTCATTTTTGTGACGTAACATCGAAATTGATTCAGAACGTTCCATTGTAGTTAAAAGGTGTAATAAAAGCTGTTCCATTAAAGCCTGTTGGTGGTAAATGCCACCATATTGTAATTTCTTACTGTATGGTCGAAAACTTTCCAAACTTCACTGAAGTATTATTTATGTGCCTCTAAGTAAAAATCAATGAGAAAGAAAATTTCTTTCCTAAGTGAAAAACGAAAGGGTTAAGGTCGCAGATTCTTGCATACTAGAAGATAAACCCCTCAAACAAATTACCAAAATAATAATAAGATAAAGTAATCCGATTCAGAATAATCAATCCAAATAATCAATCAAAAAAGTACACTGAATTCTAAAGCGTAGTAGGACCTACGTTCTGTCCAATGAGAATTTTGTAATTCTAAATGGGTTTTTAAAGGCAGCTTCCAGACAGATCTGGACCTACGGGGACCTTACGTGGATGGCAACTTTGAGGGCTTAACTGAGACACTGCCAAAGAGAGAGCGCGAATAATTCGCACACGGCTTGAGATATTCGGCTTCAAACTGGACCCCAAAAATGTATTAAGGCTGGTTTTATAACAGCGTACGATTCGAGCGCTGTACTGGCTGATGAGTCGTGGAATGATATACGGTCCCGGGGCCCAGTTCGGAGCCGAATATTTTAGCGGTGAGTAAATCATTCGCGCTCCCGCTTGAGCTGTTTTGGTAGGGCCCCAAGATTATTTTCCACGTGAGGCCCCACAATCCAGATCTACCTGGAGGCTGCCTTGAACCATGAAAGCTCCATTCGTAAGCATCTTAGCAAAGTAACACAATTTTCTCGGTGTTAGGCTGAAATTTCTAGGCTTTCCATTTATAATAAAGCCTATATTTTTTTAATAAGAATGGAATGAAAAAACGGGCATTATCGCATAAAAAATGCTATTGTTAGATTACTCAAATCTAATTAACAAGAACAATTCCGAGTTTCTCAGTCAGCAAACTATTTTAAGAGTATCGTGCCGAAAAAACAGAGAGCTTATTTTGATGGGGTCCAGCTTTATGAACAACAATACCCATCAAATTTCATGGATTAGAAAGGCTGTGATTAATCACACTGATTCTTGCAAAATTCATCACTTCCAGATTTGGACATTGCAGGACACAGCGGGGCTCGTGTGTCCAATTTGACAAATGGACTCGTAAGAGTTGTCTTGTCGGGGGAATCACAAGGCGAAGCAACCGCCTGAACTATGCCTGAGGCCTTGGACCGTGGGCATACCTCAGGTTGCCAGGTGTCTTCGAATTCAATACTGGTAGACCCCAAATGCACAGCATATATAACGTCCATAGGCTGAGAAAATGTGCTATCTTCCTATATTCAGATTAGATGACATATAAACAAACGGAGTATTGTCAAAGCCCGTATGCACTACATCCCTTCGGCGAGGGGAGCGGCGTCCCCCGCTATAGAAGGGCCGCATGTGGACGCCGCCGCGGCTTTTTCATCATTGGAGACTCCGCTCCCCTAGTCGCAGGGATTTTAGTGCATACGGGCCCAAATCGCGTGAAGTATGCCCAGGGCCTTAGGGACCTGTGATACTTCGTCCAAAAGCGCTCAGAAGCCAAAAGCGCCGAAAAGCGCTCAAAGCGCAAGAACGTCCTTTCAACATGGCAACTTTTGGCTTTGGAGCGTGGTTTGCAAAACATTGATCAATATCAAAACGAATACTTTACACATTCACATGCTAATGTCAATCACGGTCACTGTAAACTCAAGTTGCACCCTGACACATTCTTGCATTCCTGACTCAAAGGCAGTGACTGGATCGGCAAGATGGACCCTCCTGGGATTGGTAATTTGACCCACTGACTAGGATGTGGACCACCGGTGGCCCATGCACTTTTTGTCGCCAGGAACGATGTGGACCACCGGTGGCCCACACTGCTTGCAAAAACATATCCTTTCCAGGTCTAGTCTTTTCTCCACAGTTCAGTATTTTTTCCGATTTTTTTGCACTCTTGGAACCTGTAAACTTCGTCGTCCAAGAAGATGATTGTAGTTGTTTACACAACTTTACATTTCGTAAATAATCACAAAACTTTCCCACGCCCAAAGTGTTTTGCAAAATCGCGT